CACGTCCTCCAAATATCTGAATACAATTTCACATCCTCCTTACTCTCCTCCATCCAATCTGTGTTCCAATCTGTCATCACTAATCTTTTTGTTATCCTCATAACTACTCTTTCCTGTATTCACTTTTAATTTTCTTCTTTTGCCTCACAACACTACACTCTACGCGCACGCACACTCACACTCGCACTCTGCTCATGTTCACGCCGCGCACGCAGATTCTCCCAGAGCACTGTGCGCACATCAGACCAGCAATGTGCAACTGTGACAAACTCCAAAGTAATGTGTGGTTCTTTATCTTTTATACTCCATGGCTCTTGCACACACATGACCACAATCGCATATTACTTCTCTTACAACCCCATATATAAATATATTAATCAACAACGGGTGACTCACACATCCTTGTCTAAGGCCTACTTACTGGGAAATAAATTTCCCCTCTTTCTACATACTCTAACTGAGCCTCACTATCCAGTTAAGAACTCTTCACTGCTTTCAGTAACCTACCGCCTACCCATCCAACTGCAAACATCTGCTCTCTGCCCCCCTATCCACCTGTCATAGGCCTTTTCCAAATCCATAATCGCCACAAAAAGACCCTTTAGGCCTTACTCTAAATAATGTTTCACTTTTATGTTTCACTGTAAACACCTGGTCCACCAACCCCCCTACCTTTCTAATGCCTCCTTGTTCATTCTGCTATCACTATTCTCCGTCTTACTCTTTATTCTTTCAATAATAACTCTTTACTTTACACTTTACCAGGTTACAAACAGACCTTATCCCCCCTATAATTTTTTGCACTTCTCTTTTGTCCCCTTTGCCTTTTTACCAAAGGGAACTATGCATCTCTCTGCCAAATCCTTACCCTCTCTCTTCGCATACATTTATTATAATAATTGCACCAACCACTCACTTAAAAATCTATATCCCCACCTGCTTTTTAACATTTTCTATCTTTATCCCATCAATTCCCAGCTGCTTTCCCACCCTTTCATTTTACAGATCTGCCTCACGAACTTCCCCCACACTCACTAACTGGCTCTTCATCACTCTACAAGATGTTATTCCTCCTTGCACTCATTCCGACAAAATCACTGCTCGAGTGCCCTTTCTATCAAACATTTAACCAATTCCTCAAATTATTCCCTCACATCTTTCCCAATACCTCTAACTCTCCTTTATGAACTCTCCTCTCCTATTTTTAACTGACAAATCCTTTTGTTCTCTAGGCCTTTCTTAACTTGTTAATCTCACTCAAAACTTTTTCTTATTTTCAACAAATTTGTTGATAACAATCTCACCCACTCTCTCATTTGCTCTCTTTTTTACATTGCTTCACCACTCTATTAACCTCTCTCTTTATCTCCATATACTCTTCCCTCCTTTGCTTTACTTTACTTTGTTAAAAACTTCTCTAGGCGAACTTTTTTCTCCATTAACTACTCTCTTTACATCATCATTCCACCAACGCTACTCTGTCCCTCCCGTAACCCCCACTTTCCTGTAAACACACAAAAAAACTTCTGCTGAACACTCTAACACTACATTTTTAAACCTACCCCATTACTCTTCAACCCCATGGCCTATGCTTTCATTAGCCCATCTTATCCTCCATAAGCTGTTTATATCTTACCCTAACTGCCTTCCTCTTTTAGTTTAAACTTCAACTCTATCTTCCCTGATGCTATCTATTCTCCTTGTATCTCATAGGCTTTTACTCTCGATTGTAGCTACAACTGGAAAGTGATCAGATATACTGTGGACCCTTATAAACATGTACATCCTGATGTCTACTCAACAGTCTTTTATCTACAATACTTAATCTTCAATAAACTTCTGTCATTTCGCCCCCCAACATCCATATCTTGTAATATACTTATTTATCCAACCTTTTTCTTTAAAATATGTATTCCATAAACTAAACCCCTTTACACAAAGTTCAAATACAAAGGGCTCCCATTATCATTTACTCCTGGCACCCCCTAAACTTACCTAACAAACCCTCTCTAAAAAGTTTCTCCCTACTTTTGCATTCAGGTCCCATACCACAATTCACTCTCTCACTTGGTTCAAAGGCTCCTATACATTCACTTAACATATCCCAAAATCTCTCTTCTCTCCTCTACATTTCCTCTCTTCTCCAGGTGCATACACGTTATTATGACCAACTTTTTCACATCCAACCTTTATTTTAATACAATTCTTGATTTTACACATTCTATTTCTCTTTTCTCCTTCCATAACTGATCATTTAACATTTACTGCTACCCCTTTCATTTGCTCTAACTCTCTCAGATTACTCCAGGATTTAATCCCATTTATTCCCCAACGAAACTCACCCTACCCCTTCGCTTTGTTTCGCTTAGGGCCAGGACATCCAACTACTTTTGTCATATAACATCAGCTATCATCTGTTTCTTGTCATCCGCATACATCCACACACATTTAGCATCCCAGTTTTATACAAGCTTTTCTTCTTCTCTTTTTTGTAGTAAATGTTCTACAGGAGAAGGGGTGTTGTTACTAGGCCCCATTGCTCCGGGGCATTTTTAGTCGCCTCATACGACACGCCTGGCTTACGGAGGAAAAGATTCTTTTCCACTTCCCCTGACAATAGAAGAAATAAAGAGAACAAGAGCTATTTAGGTAAAGGAGAAGAGAGAGGGAAAAAACCTTGATGTTTGTATATATATATGCATGTGCGTTCTGTTTGAAGTGTGACCTAAGTGTATGTAGGAAGTAGCAAGAATTCCATATAGTTATCTTGCGTGTATATGAGACGAAAAAAGTAGTAAGAAACCACATAAATTTACACAATAATTATTATAGTAGATATTATACACAATACACAAGATTCTCAGTGTGTTATAAGTTGTGGACTTACTGTAAATATACATAAAAATCTTTGGTATGCAATTCTAAGATATAGAGGTGCTCCTTGATGTGGGACATTTTTTAGCTTTACAATGGTGCAAGAGTAATTACAGCCTCTCCTCACTTAGTGACGTACTCGTTTACCAATACCTCGGACTTATGACCGGCTCTCTGACCAGTATTTATACCTAAATAATGTACAGTGGACCCCCGGTTAACGATTTTAATCCGTGCAAGAGGGCTCATCGTTATGCGAAATAATCGTTATGTGAATGAATTTTCCCCATAAGAAATAATGGAAATAAAATTAATCCGTGCAAGACACCCAAAAGTATGAAAAAAAAATTTTTTTACCACATGAAATGTTAATTTTAATACACACAAACTGAAAAAGGCATGCACACTTACATGACACTTACTTTTATTGAAGATCTGGTGATGATTGATGGGATGGGAGGAGGGGAGAGCATTATCTTCTTACTGTTTAGAAGGGGAATCCCTTCCATTAGGACTTGAGGTAGCAAGTCCTTTTCCGGGGTTACTTCCCTTCTTCTTTTAATGCCACTAGGACCAGCTTGAGAGTCACTGGACCTCTGTCGCACAACAAATCTGTCCATAGAGCTCTGTACCTCCCGTTCCTTTACGATTTGTCTAAAATGGGCCACAACATTGTCATTGAAATAGTCACCAGCACGGCTTGCAACAGCTGTGTCAGGGTGATTTTCATCCATAAAGGTTTGCAGTTCAACCCACTGTGCACACATTTCCTTAATTTTTGAAGTAGGCACAATGGATTCCACAACTGGCATAGGCTTCTCAGGGTTAGCCCCAAACCCTTCAAAATCTTTCTTAATTTCCATACTAATTTTCACCCTTTTTACCACAGGGTTGGCACTAGAAGCTTTCTTGGGGCCCATGGTCACTTATTTTCCAGAAACAGCACCGAAAACACTGTAATAATACGAAATATTCCGATTGTATGCTTGGATGTTATTGCGGAGGCTGGCTGGTAAACAATGCCACCGGCGGAACATGTGAGCGTGGCTCAGGCCGCACATTGGAAGCGTCTCGGACGAAAATCGGTAAGCGGGTTTTTAAGCGGTATGCGAGGCAAAATTTTTGCAATTAAAGTAAGCGGTATGCGAAATAATCGCTATGTGATGCCATCGTTATGCGGGGGTCCACTGTATATCAGTGCTGATTTCCTCTGTTCTGTTTAATACAATATACAGTACACTACTGTATAAATATTTAAAAATACACCAGAAATGTTATTAATGGTACAAAGGTGACATTAAAACAATATCAAAGATGGTTGACACAAACTCACTACCATTATAGTATGTTCCTCACTTAGTGACGAATTCACTTACTGACCTACTCTTAGGAACAGAACTACGTCGTTAAGGAGAGGCTGCACCTACAGTAATTATTTGTTTATTTACTTATGCGGTGACAGTAGTTATTTACTGACTTATTAAATTTGGTATATCATATTTATATTCAACTTTCGATGTTTTCAATTTACAACGGGTTCATTGGAATGTAACCCCACTGTAAATCAAGGACCACCTGTGTATATAAATTAAGAGTGGACATAAGAAAGAGCAATGTAAGAAGAGTTAAAAAGTATGAGTGAGAGTCCCAGACTCCAGGACTGTAACGTCCAGGACTCTAGTACAATTAGCCGAGTTAATCAATAAAAATCTTTTTCGTTTGAAGCCACAACAAACACAGTAAAAACCTTTCCATTTCAAACCGTCACAACAAACGCAGTAAAAATCTTTCCATTTAACCCTTAAACTGTCCAAACGTAGGTCTACGTTCACATGTGTAGTGCTTCGAACGTAGATCTACGTTTTATTTTACATGCTTTCAACCTTGGCACTATAGGCCTGAGTTGCCTAGACATGAGAGAATGGGTCTGTGAACTCAGTGTGCATGGTATGACAAAATTCGGGGATGCCAGGATAAATGCGCTCTTCATTTCAAAAAAAAAAAAAAAAAAAAAAAAAAAAAAAAAAATCCCCAGAATATTCAGAGCGCTATGCAAGTTAACATAGATCTATGTTTGGACAGTTTAAGGGTTAAAGGCAGCACAAGAGACACATGGTAAAACTTACGTGTTTGTCTGAAGACAGGATGATGCGTTTGGCCTGCGTGAGGGGATTGGCCAAGAGGATGCGCTCCAGGTACTGGTCGGTCAAGAACTCCACCTCAGCCTTCACCACCACTGACTCCAGTTTCTTGCACCACATCAAGAAGAACTCCACGCACTCGTCTGAAAATAACATCCACTCGTTACTGATGCTCTTTCAAAGTCTGAAAATAACATCCACTCGTTACTGATGCTCTTTCAAAGTCTGAATATAACATCCAGTCGTTACTGCCGTTCTTTCGAAGTCTGAAAATAACATCCAATCCTTACCAGTGTTATTGGTGTTATTTTATTCAAGTTATCTTAAGTTATTATTAGTTTGCTCAAAATGCATTTCAAAACTTGGGGGTTTAAACAGATCCCAAACGACTAACTGTGAACCCCCCAAGGTACTGACAACCACAAACACAAGGGACAGGGTTGACACTAACTACTAACGACTGCCTCCTCCCAGACTTGAAGATAGAGCGTGGTGAGGTGAGAGAAGAGGTGACCAGGGTTGCACAGCAGTTGATTGTCCTCCACCGTCGCCGTGGTGATGTGCAGAGTTGACAGCAGCGGACAGCACTTGCCCACCAGTGTGATCTTTTCTTGACTCACTTCATCGCCTACAATAACAATTATTATTATTATTCATTGTTATTATTATATCATTATTATGGGTAGGATTATGATTATTATTATTATTATTGCATTATGATTATTATATTATTCTTACAAGGCCAGCAGGCTTCTGGCAAGGTAGTCACTGCATGAATGATGGTTAATGTGCTGTCTTCCCTGGGTTGTCTTGCCACTGTCTTGGCGGGACTTGACCTCAGAGACTGACACCGGAATTATCGTCATACTTCCCAGGACATGACTTCAATAAAACGACTCGCTGCACTGGCCGGCTGAACCGGACGCTAATCCACTGCAGAGTAGTTGAAGGCATTTTCTGACATCCTCCATTTTTTAGCCATCTCCCACTGAGGCAGAGCCACCCAAAAAAAAAAAAAAAAGAGGAAACACATTCGCCATCACTCATGCAACACCCATCTTGCTGAAAGCGTTCAAAGGGGTCAGTACTCACAGTTCAACTGCAGCGTCCGAAGCGACTCCCCAAGATTTGTTATGGCTTTGACGAACCCGATCCCCAGCACGGACGACGTTTCAATTTCCAAAATTCTACGAGACACGAAAATGTTATTAGAGTTTAAACTATACATAATATACCAGTGTTATTTCAACATGATACAGTGTATGGTAGTGCCCTGGTATCCACGGAGGGATACCTTTCAAAACCTACCATGGATATCTGAAACAGGGTATAATGGCAAACCCTATATACTATAAGTCATTTTTCGTTGGCATACATACCTATGATTAAGTTTAATTGATAAATTAAACAAAATAAGTCTATAATTACCACTTTTTCACTGGTGGCTTCTCTTAGGCTTTGAAGAACTACCACCATCACTACTGTACAACCTACAATTTCAGAACGGCAAAATCTAATACAACCTCTCCTCACTTAGCGACGTACTCGTTTATGATGACTTGGACTTACGATGGGCTCTCTGATGAGTATTCATACCTAAATAATGTATAGTAGAGCTGATTTCCTCTATTCTGTTAATTTCAGTATACAGTACACTGCTGTATAGACATTTAAAAATATACCAGAAATAACAAAAAAAGGCACAATACCGTGACTGGAACGATACACAAATAACCCGCACATAAAAGAGAGAAGCTTACGACGACGTTTCGATCCGAATTGGACCATTTACATACACAAATAACCCGCACATAAAAGAGAGAAGCTTACGACGACGTTTCGGTCCGACTTGGACCATTGACAAAGTCACACTAACCAGAGGTGGAGCAGGACGGCTATATATAGGCAGGACCATTTACAAAGTGACTTTGTAAATAGTCCAAGTCGGACCGAAACGTCGTCGTAAGCTTCTCTCTTTTATGTGCGGGTTATTTGTATACCAGAAATGTTATTAATGGTGCAAAGGTGACATTAAAAATGTGGTCTTAGGAACAGAACTCCATTGTTAAGTGAGAAGACGCTGTATAAATCCCAAAGTGAAGCAGTTTCTTCACAGATCCATAGACATATAATACCAAACACAAAAATCTCTTTGACATTCCCCGTGTCCAGCTAAATCATTTTAAAAACTCAATGTACATAAACAAGGACATTTAATATCAATACTGTTAGAAGTTATGGAGCGGAAGACACACCATGGTTGAGGGACTGTCCACCTCACCTGATATCTCCCAACTGTGGGACCAGAGCTAGACTCTCGTCATCCATAAACAAGCTGGCCGACTCTAGACATGGGCAGGCACACCCGACCCATGCAATGTCGTCATCTTGGGGCTCAAAAATCGTCTGCGGTAGAAAACAATACGTCGTATCAATAAGATTTCATGCCCAAATTTAATGTATGTCTAATGAGGTCAGTTAAAATATTATTTTTATATATGGAATCTTTATGAATTTAGAAAACAGAATTTGAGTAAATTTAGAAAACAGAATTTGAGTAAATTTAAAAAACAGAATTTTAGTAAATTTAGAAAACAGAATTTGAGTAAATTTAGAAAACAGAATTTGAGTAAATTTAGAAAACAGAATTTGAGTAAATTTAGAAAATAGAATTTGAGTAAATTTAGAAAATAGAATTTGAGTAAATTTAGAAAATAGAATTTGAGTAAATTTAGAAAACAGAATTTGAGTAAATTTAGAAAATAGAATTTGAGTAAATTTAGAAAACAGAATTTGAGTAAATTTAGAAAATAGAATTTGAGTAAATTTAGAAAACATATTAGTTATTATGGTAGACACAATCTTACATATAAATATGTATATCTCGCATTCTTACTGGTTTACATTCATCTCATTTTCTTACATTATGGGGCAGAGCTAAACCCACAGGGGTTATACAGATCCTGGGGAATGTGCAGTAATTTTGACTAGATTAACAGAGGAAGCGTTCAGCCAGTAACAATCACAATTCGGGAAATCACAATAACACAACTATGAGTGGACATGCGACAGCTGGGATTCAACCCCCACCCGGTCCGTGGTTTGTTAGTGAGGAACGTATGCGGGCTGGGGAAAGACGGGAGGTAATCAAGTCTGATCCAAGGGGAGTAGATGGCAGTGTCAATTTCTTCAAGAGCCATTTACCGGCAATAAAGTACAGTTGGTGCTTGACTTACGATTGTTTGATTTACGGTGATCGGACTTACAATATTTTCGACTTATGATACTTCTGATTTACGATGGGTTCATTGGAACATAACTCCATCGTAAATTGAGGACCACCTGTACCCCCCTAACCCCTTGAAGCCTCACACAGATTATTACAGTGGTACCCCGAGTTTTGACCTTTCTTCGTTCCAGAAGGCTGTTCGAGTGCCGTTACTGAATGAATTTGTTCCCATAAAGAATAATGTAAATTAGATTAGTACGTTTGAGACCCCCAAAAACACACTTACAAAAGCACTTACATAAATACACTTACATAACTGGCCGAGTTGGGAGCTGTTCGAAACTCAGGGTACCACTGTATTATAATCAAAACTGAGTGCTAAACCCATAAGGTTCATACAGCACTGTCAAATAGATAAAAACCTCACTACTCACATGAGTCTGCTCAAAATGTGTCAACTTGAACGTGGCATCGGATTTCTTGAACGCGCTGATCATGACAGCCCCCAGCTGGTCGCACTGCATTTTCTGTAAGTTCTTGCCATACTGCAGGGCATAAGCAATGCCCTCTGTTGTAATTTCCCAGCACTTTGAGATGCCCAGCTTTTCCAGCTTGGGGCACCCTAGGGCTAAAGCTTTAAGCCCTTTATCGGTGACGAGGTCCGAGATAGACATGTTCACCTCGACAACATTCGGACATTTTTCGCTGACGATGAAGAGGATCTCGTCGCTGCATTTACTGACCATATTAAGGACCATTAAATTCTTCATGTTGACTACCGTGTCCTGAACCACATTTCTGATGGTTTTGTTGATCTCCCCTGAGAGTCGCATATGGAAGAACAATCCACTCAAGTTCAACCTCTGAATGTGGGGCTGAAGGAGCACCTCGAGACAGGTCCGCATTCCGATAGACCTCCGAGTTCTACTCATTGTCTGATAAATGGTCTCAATCACTTTTGTGATCATGTTCTCGTTGATGACTGACGGCAGTGATGCAACCACTGCTGACACCTCCTTCGCAGACACTGTGCAAGTCTCAGGTGACTCTTCTAATTCAACCTGCAAGAAAATTGATCAAATGGCAACTTTTCTAACTAAATTTACAAGAAAATTAATCAAATAATAATAATAATAATAATAATAATAATAATAATAATAATAATAATAATAATAATAATGGAGAGTAAAAGAAAGGTAAAGAGAGTGGTGAGAGAGTGCAAAAGGAGAGCAGATGATAGAGTGGGAGAGGCACTGTCAAGAAATTTTAATGAAAATAAGAAAAAATTTAGAGTGAGTTAAACAAGTTAAGAAAGCCTAGAGAACGAATGGATTTGTTAGTTAAAAACAGAGTAGGAAAGTTAGTAGATGGGGGGATGGAGGTATTGGGTAGATGGCGAGAATATTTTGAGGAACTTTTAAATGTCGACGAAGAAAGGGAAGCGGTAATTTCATGCACTGCCCAGGGAGGTAAGATAAGATTTCATATGGATTTTTAACCCTGGAGGGTTAGCCACCCAGGATAACCCAAGGAAGTCAGTGCGTCATTTCCATTGGGGTCCTCAATCTTGTCCCCCAGGATGCGATCCACACCAGTCGACTAACACCCAGGTACCTATTTGCTGCTAGGTGAACAGGACAACAGGTGTAAGGAAACGTGTCGAAATGTTTTCACCCGCCGGGAATCGAATACGGGCCCTCCATGTGTAAAGCGGGAGCTTTAGCCACCAGGCCACTGGTGGCCTGGTGGATGTAAGTGTGGGGGAGGTACGTGAGGCATTACATAGAATGAAAGGGGGTAAAGCAGCTGGAACTGATGGGATCATGACAGAAATAAAAGCAGGGGGGGATATAGTGTTGGAGTGGTTGGTATTTTTGTTTAATAAATGTATGAAAGAGGGGAAGGTACCTAGGGATTGGCAGAGAGCATGTATAGTCCCTTTATATAAAGTGAAGGGGGACAAAAGAGATTGTAAAAATTATAGAGGAATTAGTTTACTGAGTATACCAGGAAAAGTGTACGGTAGAGTTATAATTGAAAGAATTAGAGGTAAGACAGAATGTAAGATTGTGGATGAGCAAGGAGGTATCAGAGTGGGTAGGGGATGTGTAGATCAAGTGTTTACATTGAAGCATATATGTGAACAGTATTTAGATAAAGGTAGGGAAGTTTTTATTGCATTTATGGATTTAGAAAAGGCATATGATAGAGTGGATAGGGAAGTTATGTGGCAGATGTTACAAGTATATGAAATAGGTGGTAAGTTACTAAATGCTGTAGAGAGTTTTTATGAGGATAGTGAGGCTCAGGTTAGGGTGTGTAGAAGACAGGGAGAATACTTCCAGGTAAAAGTAGGTCTTAGACAGGGATGTGTAATGTCACCATGGTTGTTTAATATATTTATAGATGGGGTTGTAAAAGAAGTAAATGCTAGGGTGTTTGGGAGAGGGGTGGGATTAAATTATGGGGAATCAAATACAAAATGGGAAGTGACACAGTTACTTTTTGCTGATGATACTGTGCTTATGGGAGATTCTAAAGAAAAATTGCAAAGGTTAGTGGACGAGTTTGGGAGTGTGTGTAAAGGTAGAAAGTTGAAAGTGAACATAGAAAAGAGTAAGGTGATGAGGGTGTCAAATGATTTAGATAAAGAAAAATTGGATATCAAATTGGGGAGGAGGAGTATGGAAGAAGTGAATGTTTTCAGATACTTGGGAGTTGATGTGTCAGCAGATGGATTTATGAAGGATGAGGTTAATCATAGAATTGATAAGGGAAAAAAGGTGAGTGGTGCACTGAGGTATATGTGGAGACAAAGAACATTATCTATGGAGGCAAAGAAGGGAATGTATGAAAGTATAGTAGTACCAACACTCTTATATGGGTGTGAAGCTTGGGTGGTAAATGCAGCAGCGAGGAGGCGGTTGGAGGCAGTGGAGATGTCCTGTCTAAGGGCAATGTGTGGTGTAAATATTATGCAGAAAATTCGGAGTGTGGAAATTAGGAGAAGGTGTGGAGTTAATAAAAGTATTAGTCAGAGGGCAGAAGAGGGGTTGTTGAGGTGGTTTGGTCATTTAGAGAGAATGGATCAAAGTAGAATGACATGGAGAGCATATAAATCTGTAGGGGAAGGAAGGCGAGGTAGGGGTCGTCCTCGAAAGGGTTGGAGGGGGTAAAGGAGGTTTTGTGGGCGAAGGGCTTGGACTTCCAGCAAGCGTGCGTTAGCCTGTTAGGAGTGAATGGAGATGAATGGTATTTGGGACCTGACGAGCTGTTGGAGTGTGAGCAGGGTAATATTTAGTGAAGGAATTCAGGGAAACCGGTTATTTTCATATAGTCGGACTTGAGTCCTGGAAATGGGAAGTACAATGCCTGCACTTTAAAGGAGGGATTTGGGATATTAGCAGTTTGGAGGGATATGTTGTGTATCTTTATATGTATATGCTTCTAAAATGTTGTATTCTGAGCACCTCTGCAAAAACAGTGATTATGTGTGAGTGAGGTGAAAGTGTTGAATGATGATGAAAGTATTTTCTTTTTGGGGATTTTCTTTCTTTTTGGGTCACCCTGCCTTGGTGGGAGACGGCTGACTCGTTGGAAAAAAAAAAAAAAATAATAATAATAATAATCTTTATTTCTACAAGTACATGATACAACTTTACAGACCATAGCTGACACCTGTGACATACTATACAGAAAGCCTCTGCTTATGCAGATCATTTTCTGCAACTTAGGTTAATTCTGTCTCCCAGGATGCCACCCACAACAGTCAACTAACACCCAGGTATCTACTTACTGCTAGGCCTGTACTCTAAAGGATAAGTGAGGATGTTACAGTACTGGAGGTGGGAAGTACAGTACCTGTACTCTGAAGGATGAGTGAGGATGTTACAGTTTAGTGGGTCATCCGACTATAATATCAACACAATTGTGGAAATAGCAGCAATAATATAATCAAGTCACGAGTACGCCTGGAAAGACAGTGATTGAGTGAATGATGGAGAATGACTTCTTCCTTGAATCATCTTCTCTTGATAGGAAATGGCCAATGAATAAAAAAATTGCTAGTCACATGTACAGATACAAATACGTAACTTATTTCCTGAAGCTTAAGCTTGAGGGCCCCTAATCATTGCTTAAAAATTTCAGGTCTTCTGTATGAGAAGGGATTGCAAAGGGGCCCCCATAACAGCTCAAGTACACAAATAACCCGCACACAGAAGAGAGGAGCTTACGACGAAGTTTCGGTCCGACTTGGACCATTTACAAAGTCACACTTTGTGACTTTGTAAATGGTCCAAGTCGGACCAAAACATCGTTGTAAGCTCCTCTCTTCTACGTGCGGGTTATTTGTGTATCGTTCCAGTCACGGTACTGTGCCTTTTTTTGTTATTTAACAGCTCAAGCTTCGGGGCCCTAAGCAGCACTGCATGATCCTGGGGGCTTTAACAATTATAATAATAATTATAGATAATTATAATACTAATTCAGGGGCCCCATAAATGTAGGTTCCCCACTGAGTACACCAGTAGTTTTCACTACTGGTGTAGACTAATCCTGGTGTTTACAGACAACTTAAGAACTAGATATAGGTTACTGGATAGGATTTTTTAAATGTACAAAAAGGAGAGATACATAAATGTTCAATAGTAAAATTTTAAGTGTGTATTTATACTTCAAACTGATACAGTGATCTTCGGTTAAGTGGGATTTCTTAAACATAAAACAGTCAAATATACAATAGTGACTGTCAATACTGTATTAGATAATAGTAGTTACAGTCAGCACTGTATTAGATAATAGTAGTTACAGTCAGTACTGTATTAGATAATAGTAGTTACAGTCAGTACTGTATTAGATAACAGTAGTTACAGTCAGTACTGTGTTAGATATAGTGTTTTTTCTTGCTAATTTTTAACATTATCCTAATTTATCGAACATTTAGACAGTGCACTCCATCGTTTGGTTCAAGGAACCCTGAACCCTTAATCAGGACCAGGAGCTGGTTAAGGGGGTGTACAGGGGAAAAAAAAACACTAACATCGACTTACAGCAAGCTGATGGATAGTGCCGGCCATTACCATAAAGCAAGTATGCTGCAACGAATCGACCTGCTTTCTGGGAGGCATCTTGACCCTATACCAGCTCCTTTAACGAGAGAATTATTGACATTGGTCAATGCTGGCATTATCAGTGTACAGTAATCCCCCTGTATCCACGAGGGATACCTCCAAGACCTACCGTGGATACCTGAAGCCGGGGATAATGGTATTTACGTACATACCTATGATAAAGTTTAATTGATAAATTATGCAAAATAAGTCTTTGAGGCTCTGAAGAACTGCCACCATCAATACTTTTGCACTTTGGGGTCATTATTAAGCAAAATTAAGAGTTATTTTCAGGCCACGGTAAACCCTGGATAACTGAACCTCAGATACTAAATCCATGGATACTGAAACTGTGGATACTGAAACTGTGGATACTGAAACTGTGGATATTGGAACTGTGGATATTGAAACTGTGGATACTGAAACTGTGGATATTGAAACTGTGGATACTGAAACTGTGGATATTGGAACTGTGGATACTGAAACTGTGGATATTGGAACTGTGGATACAGGGGTTCTACTGTATTAACTGTTATCTAAAAGAACAAAGCATTTGGCCCTCAAACTTTCTCTTATAGATAAATAAGAAAATAAAAAGATTAAGTGCACAACAATTACATATTGTTAATACGATCAAATAAGCAGTTTATGATATTTTATTGAGATATTTATCAGTTAACCCGTAAACGTTCCAAGCAGAACTACGTTCACATGTGTAATGCTCCAAAAGTAGATCGAAGTTTTTTTACACATTTTCAAATGTAAAAAAAAAAAAGATCTACTTTTTTATGTACTTTCAAATGTTGAAAAAATGTATATATACGTTTGGACCGTTTACGGGTTAATAAAAGTCCCTGGAAGATGAAAGGTCTTGACAAAAGGTCATAAATGACATATTAGGTTATATTAACATACAAGTCAATATATAATACTATTGGTACACTATTATTGTTTCTGTTAGGCAAAAGAATACATGTGCAACTAATGTGACTTATTGGGGCAACGAGCAAAACATTACCACAGTCAAACTACACGCTTCATTTTACCAATATGCTCTGCATACAAAAGGGGTTTTGGCATGTACTTAAAGACTGCTTAAGTCCAGACAGGTGAAGCGTGGTAGATTATAAATATTCAATACAGCTTCTCCTCACTTAATGACGGAGTCCTGTTCCTAAGACCACGTTGTTAAACGAATTCATCGCTAAGTGAGGAGCATACTACACCTACCATCCGACTTACGACCTGCTCGACTTACGACCACTCGACTTACGACCGTGTTTTTTATGCCAAATTTCTGGGAAATAAACAACTATTTGTGTTGTGCACAGTGTTTATCCTAAACTTTACAGTATAAAATACAGTACTAACAACATAAAAAGTAAAGTAAAACATGAAATACCAAAATAAAACAATAAAATAAAGTCTTTACAAAAATGTTTTATTGATATTCAGTAGTAAAGTTCTACTTACGACTATTTCGACTTACGACCGGTTTCTTGGAACCGAACTCGGTCGTAAGTCGGATGGTAGGTGTATGATGGTAGTGGGTTTGTGTCAGCCATCTTTGATATTGTTTTAACGTCACCTTTGCACCATTTATAACATTCTGGTATATTTTTAAATGTTTATACAGTAGTGTACTGTATATTGAAATAAGCGGAATAGAGAAAATCAGCTCTAATATATGTACATTATTTAGGTAAAATTACTGGTCAGAGAGCCCGTCGTAAGTCCGAGGTAACAGTAAACATGTACATCGCTAAGTGAGGAGAGACTGTATTTTATTATTAATATGAGAATGTGCAATTAATGATACGAACATATATTTTTAAGTTTGTAATAATGGCTTAAGAGGTAAGGGATAATAAAATGTTTGGGAGAATTGCTTTAAATTTGGTTAGAGTTTAGTGTGGATATGGTTGTTATTGAGAGATGAGATGAGTGTTGAGTATAGTCCTAAACTGATTTGTGGGCAGGAGACCTCTTGCTGTTTCAGGCAAAGAGTTTCAGATCTTTGGGCCCTTTACGTGCATTGCATCTTTGCATAGTGTGGGACGGACACAAGGGAGTCAAAAAGTGCTTGTGCCTCATGTTTTGCCTGTGTGTTCTGTTGAAGCTGTCTAGGTGAAGTTTGAGCAGAGGGTTGATATTGGAGTTTAATGTTCTGTATATATAGTAGTCACAGTAATAAGTGTGTATATTATGTATATTAAGTAAGTTCATGTTTTTGAAGAGAGGCGGGGTGTGTTGTCTTTCGCTCGAGTTTGTGATCATCCGCACCACCGCTTTTTGTTGGGTTATTAAAGGTTTAAGGTGACTGGCCGTGGTCGATCCCTAAGCACAAATACTATAGGTAAGGTATGGGTATATTAGAGAGTGATACAAGGTAAGGAGGGCCTGTTGGGGTACATAGTATCATATCTTGGAAAGGATACCTACTGCTTTGGAAACTTTCTTAGTTATATGCTGGACATGGGTCTGAGATTTAAGATTACAGCCAAGATGGAGACCTAGAAATTTGCCCTCAGTGTTTCTTGTAATGGGAAAACTATTTATCAATATGTTTAGCTGGGTTTTTTGATGCTCTGTTTCCAAAAAACATGGAGTAGGTTTTGTCTACATTGGGAGTAAGTTTGTTGGTCATCATCCAGTTTGATATTTACGTAGCTCGTTGTTTATAGTGTTACTAAGTATAGTCAGGTTTGGGTGGGAGAAGACGTAAGTGATGTCATCTGCAAATAGAACTGGTTTAAGGAGCCACGATGCATTTGGGAGGTCATTGATGTAAATAAGAAAGAGTAGAGGACCTAGGACACTTCCCTGTGGCACTCCAACAACTACAGGCTGAGTATTGGAGGTCACACCATTTGTGTACACATACTGTTGTCTATCACTAAGATAAGATTTTAGGTACAGTAATTGAGAGAGTGTCCTCTGACCCCGTAACGCTCTAGTTTTAGGAACAATATAAGATTTTCTTTGGATTTTTAACCCCGAAGGGTTAGCCACCCAGGATAACCCAAGAAAGTCAGTGCGTCATCAAGGACTGTCTAACTTATTTCCATTGGGGTCCTTAATCTTGTCCCCCAGGATGCGACCCACACCAGTCGACTAACACCCAGGTACCTATTTGCTGCTAGGTGAACATGACAACAGGTGTAAGGAAACACGTTGAAATGTTTCCACCCATCGGGAATCGAACCCGGGCCCTCTGTGTGTGAAGAGGGAGCTTTAGCCATGAGGCCACCGGGCCTTCTGTATCAAATGCTTTCCGTAGGCCTATGAAGAGCCCTAGCGGATATTAATTTTTTTCAATTGCTGTATATAGTAATTCGAGCATCTGAATAATTGAATCATTCGGGGGTTTTTTTCGGCCTAAACCCAAACTGGCAGAGGTTCAGTATGTTGTGGGTTAGGAGGTAGGAATAGATATGCTCATGTATTATTTTTTTGAAGATTCTATAGAGTAAAGGCAAGTTAGACATTGGTCTGTAGTTATTTAGTTCTGTAGGACTGCCTCCTTTGTGGATCCGGGTGACCGTTGCCGTCTTGAGTACGGATGAGAATGTTGAAGATTCAACGGATCTGTTAGTGTTACGATAATGGGGGACAGCACATGAGCTAATTTCTTTATACATGATTGTTGACAAGTTATTTAGGTCTCCTGCCTTGTTTTTTGATGATTTAATTACAGTGGACCCCCGCTTTACGATCAGCTCCCAATGCGACCAATTATGTAACTGTATTTATGTAAGTGCGTTTGTACGTGTAAGTTTGGGGGTCTGAAATGGACTAATCTAATTCACAATATTCCTTATGGGAACAAATTCGGTCAGTACTGGCACCTGAACATACTTCTGGAATGAAATAATATCGTAAGCCGGGGGTCCACTGTATTAGTGAGACATCAGTCAGTAGGATTTGTTGGTGCTAGATGTAGAGTATTGGGGTAATTACCAGTGAGTTAGTCTTGTGGCTGTGTATTTGCTTTTGGGATTTTGCTTTCTAGTTTTGATCCTATTGTAGAAAAGAAGACATTAAGTTTGTTGGCAGTGTCTAGGAGGCGCTAAACCCTTATGAGCCACACAGGGCTATCACAGAACACGGCAGAACGGATTTCACAAGACCAGCATTCTGCTCTGTGTAGAACGTGTGTCATTCCTGTCACCAGCAGAACACTGTTGTAATTCAGAGAAATGTTGAGTAATAATTGTAAATTATCGACAAAAGGACATGGGGATGATTATTGTGACGTATTGTGGCAATGTTTTGCTCTCCAGGCTTGACGAAACTCCTGCAGAGCAAAATGTTGCCACAATACAGACGGGTCTAGTGTGTGTTCGAAAAGTGGAGAGTGATAATTCAGTGCCCTTTATCCTCGTAGGATAGACAGAGAGCACTGAATCAGCCATTGTTGGTCATGGGTCTTTAATTAGAAGCCTAGGGAACTATCACCCACATGGGGCTGTAACTAGAAGTTAGGAACCTATCACCCACATAGGGCTGTAACTAGAAGCTAGGAACCTATCACCCACATAGGGCTGTAACTAGAAGCTAGGAACCTATCACCCACATAGGGCTGTAACTAGAAGCTAGGAACCTATCACCCACATAGGGCTGTAATTAGAAGCTAGGAACCTATCACCCACATGGGGCTGTAACTAGAAGCTAGGAACTTATCACCCACACTGGGACTGTAAGTAGAAGCTAGGAATCTATCATCCACACGGGGATGTAACTAGGGACCTATCTCCCGCACTGATGTATTATAATCATAACCAAGTGCTAAACCCCTAAGTGTCATACTGCGACACTGGGCAGTAACTAGATGCCAGGGACCTATCTCCAACCTCTTAAATGGGCATCCCCATTCGCCAATCCCCATTTATCCGGGTACGAACCCCATTGTTAGCACACCGTTGAAGAGATTAGCTAACTGTGAGCTAAGTTACTAATTATATTAAATAGAAAAGGTCGAAAATAGGTCGTCTGGACCTGTTGATGTTAGTCGCTATAGAGGGAGAGCGCTAAACTCTCAGGGGATCACACGGCACCGGGAGGAAATGAGGTTTGAACAGGGGGGGGAAAGGAGGGCAGCTCCAGTCCCTCGGATCAAGAGCCTCTAATCAAACCTATTCCCCCCCTCATAACTTCAACAAC